CCTCGATCAATTGATATATATTAGGATGACTTAAAAATAATAATAGGTAATTTGTCCGCAATTAGTATCTTATATTTGTGTCCGCAATTCGTATGTTACCTTTTTAGATTTCGTCCGCWACTCACATGTTTTTACGGTTTTTGTCCGCAATTCGGAAACACCGAAATAATATTAACAGTAGCCGGCGGGATCGATATATAGATATTCTAAAAAGTAGCCGGCAGAATCGATATGTAGATATTTTATACAGTAGCCGGCGGAATTAACAGCCGGCGGAATCGATACAAACCTTTTTTCTAAATAGGTGGTTTCGGCGGAATCAATAATTCCCCATACATAAATACCTGGTTTGAGGATAAATCGTTATCGTTACGCGATTTCATAAAAATTTAAAACTCAAACGGTCAAAACATGTTTCCTATAATGACGCTTCAAATTTTCTCTATAGCTATTTGAAGCAACACTTATGGAAATCTTAGTGATTAATTTTTTAACCTTAGATATAAATACAAACAATTTTATGATGTTGAACTACAAAATAATTTGCAAATATTCATGGTTTTGACGAATTTTTGTCAATATTTGAATTTCTAATGCTAATAAAAAAAATTGTGCCCATGTATTCTTATAATTTTTTAATCACATAAAAATTACTTATGATAAACTTTGTATTATTACTAAAAAAAGTATTTTGATAGCTTCAAAACATTTTTATCAACACTTCAAAAAAATTTCAGAAAAATTAAATTAAACTAAAAATTAAACTGTATATAGATAGCACTGACATAAACATTTGGTGAAAATTCCAAGTATTTACAGTGATTAGCTTTTAAATTACAACTATATAAAAAAAACGATTTGGTCGAAAACTGGTTTTGCGTAAAAATTCCCGTTTTTTTGTCATTTTTTTTGTTTTCTCGGTTTTTTTGAAAACTGTTGGAAAATGTTTACTTTTTTACTTCTATAATGCACCAAGGATATTCACTACCTATTACATCAGAAACCACCCCCAAAGTTTGAAATTGAAGCATTATATCGACTAGTTATGCTGTACACAGACCCAAAAACAAATTAAAAAAAAAACACACACATCATTGTAAAATCAATATATTCATCACTCCGTTCAGAGTCTAAAAAGTCATACTAATTACTTAAATCATGTTGGATATAATATAAACATAAGATTAAACTTTAAACATATTTAAGATGCATATTATAAATCGTATAAAATTAAATAGTTATTTAAAATTAACTCAACTTACCTAATGCTATAATAGACAGAGAATACCCGATAGTAATAAAAAAGTGAAAAATATATTTTATAATTATAACATATTCATCAAATGTTATGATTAATGTGGAAAATCAAGTGATTTATTTGAAATGTTTGCAAAGAATTTTCAAGTTT